ATGCTTAAAAAAAAACCCAACAAAAAAACCCCCAAAAAGTCAGGGACCATCTTTTTATTGGTGAAAATCTGTTTTCAGTAAGATATCTGAAACAAATAGCTGTAGAAGTAGAGTATTATACAAATTCCAAGTCCATAGGAAAGCAAAGTATTCAGTAGTAAAAAAACAACTGAACTCTTTTAAGCTTTAATTAAAGAAAAAGCTAAAGTCTGATGAACACCCAGAAAAAACTGCTTTTGAATATTTTCTTTTTTCAGTTCTCAATAAAGATCCTGATTTGAAAAAAATTGGGAGGCAGTAAGCACAGAGCAACTACTAAGCAAATGCAGCTCTAATATATTTGGTTGAATTCTTCCCAACTATGATGATATTTGTCAGAAAAGCCCTCTTAGCTGAGAAAGAAGGGAAAAGTGAAGTGGGGAAGAAAAGTTCTTGGAATTTTTTTTCAGAAAAAGTAATAAAAAAATTTGGAAATATAGAGAGAGTAGACAATTCATCAGAGAAGCCTTAGACAGGAAGTTAGAGTGCTAAGGGACTTGGGGAACTCTGGGCCGTGTGGAGATGACATTGTCCTCATCACTTGAATACCAGTCAAAAATTTTAGACAGCAGTTGACCTTATTCTTCCTTTTTGGACAGATGACGCTTTCCAAATGATGCTGGTGGTGCTGCCAGCAGATTAATTTATAGATCTTCAGATAAAACTTTCCCAAGCTCAGCCAGGTGATCAGTCAGGGCACAGTGCAGAAAAATGGCTATTGATGCTTTTCCTTTCCCCTCTCAGAACATTCAGAGCATCTTTCCGCTAATCCTTCTCTGGACTCAAGCTCAGTTCTTTTTTCTGCTGTTTTCATAGGTCTCTCTTCACCACTGTTTCATTCATTGCCTACAGGAGGCAGTTTTCTATATGAGGGACAATAAGGTTTCTCATCAACCCCCTGGTGTCATGTATTTCTTTCTTTACATTTCTATCCTGCACTTCCATTGCTTCTGTCAATATTTGTTTTCTTTCCTTTCACCACATCAGATGTGTCCAGTGAGTCTGTAGGTACTGGTCCTCTTGTTCTGAGATTCACATGGCTTCTCAGCTGTCATCTAGGCACTTTATTATTTTCTTTTATACAATATTTTTTGGAAGTTAGAAAAATGAGCAGAAAATAGAATAGTAATTATCAGATAACGTCTATCTCAGCTAGATACTTTTTTCCCCAAGGGCAATATGTAGGAAGGTGTAAGGTAATCAATGATGAGCAGAGTTTTCTTAGCACATGGCTGTAGAGCAACATTGGGAAAACTCACTTTGAGAGTAAAAGACCTTTAGAATGTAGTGGTTTTTCTTCACTCTTTTTGAGAATATTTTCCCAGAAATGTCTATGTTACATGCATTTTGGGTGATCAACAGTTAGTCCCTGTGCAAATTGTTGTGGCCTAGTTTTCGCTTGGGTAGAAACAACACTGGGGTTCTGCTCACTTTTTCTCTTTATATGGAAGTGCCTAAGATTGTTTTCTTTGTTTAATTTTAAAGCACCAAACTGTGTAATGATATTTGTGTTTACTTTGATAACCAGAAGTTAGTAAATCTTTAACACTTCCCTATATCTTAATTCTTCTTGGAAAAATTCAGATCTTTTAATGATCATTCATGAATGCAAGTGGGGCAAGCATTCTAAGATATTCTCAAATCATAGAAAAATACAGAGTAAAAAAGTCTAAAAATTGAATAGAAATACAAGGAACACAGTGTGGAAATTTCATAATATTTGGGAAATGACACATTTCAATGCAAAATGTAGCAATTTGCAATTACAATTTATTCTAATTGTATTCCAGGTACTCTATATTTATTACTTGCCTACGGAAATCCTACTTCTCTCCTTTTGGCTGCGATCTTTAACACCGCAGCATTTATATTTATTTATTTATTCTCACAAAGATCTGTGAGTTTTCTTTTCCTGATAACTGCTTGAAAGTTACACTTAGAGTTGGGACAGTACTGGATATGTACCTGAATCCTGCCCAAAGAAACGTGTAGGGTTTAGAACTGGCCTGATTCTAATGCAGTGGAATTCCACAGAAAAAGTCTCAGTCAGCTAGGAGCAGGGTCATGGATGAGCTTTGATGAGTTGTTTTATCAATGAATTCCACACTAATACCAATGGTGGGTTTTTTTGTTTGTTTTGTCCAGCTTTTACTATCATTTTGTGTAGTTTTCTTTGTCCCCATCTCAAGAGAATTTTTAGTATGGAATAATAATTTGTTAAATCAGAGGATCTTTCACTGTATAGGCACTCACTATAATCTGAGAAAGACATCTGGACACCCAGTCCTTATATCTATAAATGAGCTAATTAAATTAAATTAAATTATGACTATGACCATGTAGAGACTTTTAGGAGCATTGGGTAAAAAGAAGTGAGGTGTAGTACTGGATGTGTGGGAGGACAGTGAGGATGGGAGTTGGGCAGGTGATTGTGCTCACTTGTGTTAGACCGTTTTCTGTGGTAAGAAAAGTGGATGGTGTCCTTTCTTTAAAGGATGAATATTTTTATTTACATATATGGGTGTGTATATACATGTGTGTGTCTGTCTGCTCATGTGGATGCAGTGAAGCCAGCAATTCATAAATGTTAAATAAATCTATCTACAGGGTAAACTGCAGTGAACCTTCTAGAAAAATAGCTAACTGAATGATGTTTTCTGGATTTTCAACAAGTGTTCATTTATAGATGTAAATAGTGCATTGAGGGGAGTTAGAATAACCCACCAAACAGCATTGATACTACTGAAAAAGTATAAATAAATCTCTGCCTTGTCTCCATGAGCATCCTTGTTCTCACTGCTGATCTGCTTAATCTTCCAGTTTTCTCAGGGATATATTTTCTGGAAATATGTTTTGGTTCTTTAAATTATTAATGTCATTAAAATTTATAATTTTCTGTCATTACCTCTAGGAAAATAGAGATTGTAATGTGAAACATAATTGTCTCATTTCACGATTTGTGTTATGATAGTTGAGCACAGCTAAAGCGGATTTAAGTATTCCCCTGAGCAATGTGACATGGTATTGTAAACTAACTGAAGTTCTGTGTGTGCAGATAAATAAACAGATAAACCAATTCCACAAATGACCAATATCTGTGTTTCTGAGACATCTTTGAAAGGCTGTGTATCACTTAGAGGGGATGCAAAATGTGTGTGGTGAGAGCTGAACTGAAGGTTTGGATGATTTGTGATTATTTTTTATTTTTTTTTTTTAGTTTTTGGCCATGTGGTCTGAGTGTGCCTACCAAGGGATACAGCCTAGGAGGTTATGAGTTAAAGCTGTGCCATACAATTGTCTCTTCCTCTGACTTCAGCTTAGACACAGTGTGTGGTTTTAACACCCCTCCGATCCACAGGGGGGAAATCTGGAGGGGTCTGTAGAGCTTGTGGGTCTGTGTCTCCTTGCAAGGCTAGAAAATGCTGCCCAGCATTTCCTATTAAGCCTCAAAATCTTTGTCTCCTATAAGAATATATTTGTTTTCTGATTTACTGTTTTCATGCCACACCAGTTGGTCCATCATTAATGCAATGAATTTCACCTTTTTCAAGGTTAAAAATTCATGTTCCTAAAAAAACAATGGGAAATCAGTAAAGAAGCACTAAATTGAGCCAAGATACAGTACTAGTCAACCATAACAAGTAATTATTATAACCCCATGGTCATTTCACTCACAGCTTGACAGAGAAAATGGCAAGAAAACAAAGTATTTTTTTTCTTGAATGTTAAATGTTCAGTGCCAGGTCCACTTCTGCTGATGATGCATCACAAGATGTGGGCCCTGTTGACCATGTACCTGTGGCCACATAAGTAATTTGTAGCGCCCTAAGCTGCAAGGGGCTGAGAGAGCCCTGTGCAGGCTGGGCACTGGGCTGGCCCAGCTGTGCAGCCAGGGCAGTCCAGCTGTGCTGGGGATAGGCTGATGTGACTTGCAGATGCTGCTGGTGGCCCTGGTGATGAGCTCAGATGGATGGCAGCTGCCTGGCAGCAGTGCCTGCCTTTCCTCACAGTGAGCTCCTGCCAGGGTGAAAACATTGCAAGCTGCACTTTTGTTATGATTTCAGGATCATCTAAGCCTGTGATTTTCAAACTGGGTTGAAAAAAAAAATAAAAATGTTTTGGTTTTGTGCATTTCTTTAAACACAAAATGTGTAAAGCATGGAGTTGAGCTGGTTTCAGTCTCGCTATAAGAGCAGTAGTAGGTGCAGGCTCCTTCTGGAGCTTGCAGTCTGATGGATTAGGAGGTTGGGGTGTAAAGGTCTGTAGAGAAACTTTAGAAATTGTGAAGCCTGGAAAGAAAAGCAGCCTGTCCTTGAGGTCTCCTTATATCTCATCCCAGATTATTCTGTGTGCAGAAACTGATGTTACTAAATGTGTCAAACCCCTCCATAAAGTTTCTCCTATTTTTTATTTCCTAATACAGACAACCTCAAAAGACTTCCATGAGTCATTATCAGGATTAGTCTGTAGAAATGATCTACTGTACTTGTGGGAAAAGTGCTTTCTTGTAATGTTGTTCACAGGTGAAAGAGCCATATTTTCTGAAGACTGTTATATTTTTCGATTGTTATTTTGTCCTGAGGATATAGTGAGGTCCTAGTCTGTCAAACTAAAGGTCTTTCTATATAAATTTCATTTCAAGGCTCTTTTTCTAAAATTTTTCTTAAGAAATCTATTGAGACCATTTTGGTGCTTTCCTTTGAGGAGCTACATCTGCAAAATTGTAGTATTGTCAAAATAGATGTTACTGTGTTAGGCTGTTGCTGTTTTATTTTGTTTCAGATGATGTATAAAAAAAACAGCATTGTTGTTACTAAACACAAAATACTGTTTGCCTAACATGTGCATCTGTAACATTTTTCTCCTATTGTCTTTCAAAAAACATTTAACCAGTAATGAAATAAATATATAAAATGTCTGGACAAATATATGTTTTTAAATGACTGTGTCTCCATTCACAGGAAATCACTGATAATGAAATATTAGAGTTGGTGCATAGTGCTCTGGGGAGGATGACAGTTATCCGGCAAATTTTCCCTCTGTCAAGGGACAACAACCAGAGGTGCATGAGAAACAACCACCGAATATCATCCCTGCTGTGTGATCCACAGGAAGGCTATCTTCAGATGCTGCAGGTCAGTAGCTGTGCACAGCAGAAAAATGTCCATCTTAGGAATTTGTCATGGGACAGTTTTCTGTGGCTGTATTAACTCAGAGGAGGAAAGAAATGAATACAGATAGATCTGAGGATGTAACCTTTGGCCAACTTTTCTTGACTTTATTAACTTATTTTATTTCCCAGTGTTGAGTGCTTTAGGTGTGATGTTACATCCATAAAGTATCAGCAAGTGGTTGCACTAATTCAGAGCTGATTTTGCATATTTCATTCTCTTAAGAATATTCTTATATTTGAAAAATTTTGTGTCATCATATTCTTATGGCATTTCTGCTTGCTTACTGTATTTATGCTTATTAGACATCTATTGTGAAAGAGTTAATCTGGGAGGATAATAGAACTCTGATAGGTATTGGGCTGCAGAGCATTTCATATTTAGCTAATGGACTGAATCAAGCTGATGTATTCAGTCTGTCCCTTTTCCATAGTCTCAGAAGTCATCATAAGATGATAATTGAGTGTGTAAAATATGCACTGCTAGTTCAAGTTTCAGGTTTTGATAACACATTTGACTCTGGTGTTAGCAGCATCTTGACATTTCTTGGCAATTTGTCCCAGATATCAGAATTTTTCTTCCAGTAATTTAAATATTATCTAATAGGTGCTATTTCCACTGATAGTGCAATAATTCAGAAACAAAGGCCTTGGACTTTCAATGGGACTTGTGTATTTTGGTTTACTTTAGACACAGTTAAAAATCTCATTTGTATCACTGCTGAAGGTGTTGGATATAGCTATAAACTTTAGTGGCACTTAGAATATAAACTCAGTTAAAACCATTTAATTGAAAACTTAGTCTTAAATGGGGATGGGTTGAGTGAGGATATGGTGGTTGAGCCTATGGGCTCTCCTGTGTGGGTGTGTGTGGTGGAGTCATCGAGAGGGGCTTGGTTAGGCTTGGGGAGGGGCTGTCACCAGCCTGGGCTGCTGCAGCCTGGTCAGGAGGGTGGTGTGGCGTCAGGACTCGTGCAAGATGGAACTCCTGTCCTGGTCTGGAAGACTTTCAGATCAGGAAGGGCAGGGAGATTGTCAGGAAGGGAAGTGGATTAAGATTTTCCAAGGGATAGCGGTGTTAATTTTACTTATTTGCACCCTACTAAAAAGTTGTAGCTGCAGAGACTGAAATCCTTTAAGGGACAGATACGAACAGTTCCTCCTTGAGGAGAAGCTCTATTGGCTCAGGTTCTGTCCTAGCCATGGCAAAGTTTGGGAAAAGCCAAACACACCCCCTGTAGTTCTGAGCATGGCTGTATTCTTTCTGCACAGGGGAAAGTCTATGTCTGCCTTGGCTTAGAAAGAAAAGACACTTTTGATCTTTGTTAGTTACTCTGAGGTATGCTGTAATGAGAACAAAGGCCGCTCATTTCAGAGGATCAAAGCAATTTCCAGTATGATGAAAAATTATCTATGCTGCACCAACAAATCACACATTGGGGAATAATCTTCCATTACAGCAGGATTTTGAGTATTGCTGCCTGTGCTGGTTTGTGCATAATCTAATTCAGACTCATCTGAAGGACTCATCTGACAGGCCTGCGAGCAAGTTCTAATTTGAAAATTTGCACACTGGTAACTGGTAACTGGTTTGCTAGCACCAGCAGCCTCCTATTGCTAAATGTCCTATTACTAAATTTCATTGATAAGGACTTTTAGATAAGGACCATCTTCCTGCTGATTTTCAGATGTGGATTTTAGGAAACAAAACATTTCTCAGTTTCTATCTTCCAGAAACATTATGCCACCTTGGGAACTGTCTTTGAGAGAGTGGTATGGTAATGTTACGCTTTGCCCATTAGTTCCTTCTCTATGAACTAAAAAACAAGAGATATAAAGAAGTGCAGAGGTGAAAAGTTTCTAGCAGCTGATTCCATAACTTTCATGTCCAATTGAATTGACATGCAAGACAGAGGGCACATGTGAGAGTTCTCCAAATTAACTGTCCCCAGTATATTTTTAAATGTCTATAGATTGAATACTGGATGCTTTTATTATGTGCAGTTACACCTGAAGTGCTCCATAGCTGCATTTATTTTTCATAGATTTTGCCAAAATACCTTATGTAGCACCTTGCAGACGTACAGCTCATATTAATTTGAGTGTGACTGACATGTTATTAATGGTCCTGTAATTCAGGTACTTGCAATTTTCTGTTTCCTTTTTCCTACTTAAAGAAAAATAGCGGTGACCTTTTGCTGTACAGAAGTACATCACTGAATTACCCCTGTTGCCAGAGGCTGCAGGAGCTCCAAGCCCCATGTCAGGCCACATGAATCCACCAGAGCCAGTGACCGCCTGCCAGCACTGAGTCTTTGTGTTACTTTGAAGTACTTTGATAAACACCACAGCTTGGAAATCCCTGTCTCATTCTCCCTTGGGCAGTCTCATATTAATAATTGTTTGTTGTCAAGGTAACTTACCAGCTATTGTTGGTTAATTATTTATTTAATGACTTTGAAAAATAATAAGCTAATCTCTGTCAACCTCTAGCTGTAGTATTTTTCTAGGGGAGAATTTAGCACTTTTAACAAGCTAGTGAAGAAAGAAACATTTACGTCATGGATTATTAACTTTGTTCTGGCTAAATTAATGAAAATCTTTTTGGAACGATTTTGTTCTCTGTGTCTTTAGTACCATATCCTGGAAGGTTGTTTTTCAGTGGGTGATCATCCCAGTTTGGCATTCTGACAAGCCTTTTAAAGATCAGGCTGTTCTGCAAGCTCATCCAAAAACTCATCTGTTCTGAATGCTTTGTGGAAATCCAATCTTATTCCATCAACCCACTTGTCAAAATTTTGCTCATGCCCTTATTTCTTGCACGTATAATATACTCAGCTGGGTTTCTGCTTCAAGTGGAGAAAAAGCTTTATAAAGTTTCCTGTCTTGATAATTTTATTTGACTTCAGAGGACTGCATTCCTCTCTGTCTTATTCTTCAGGTAGGACTTTTTGTGTCCATCTCATTTACTTTTGGTAAATGGAAAAGACACAGTTTAGAACTTGCTTTCTTCCATTGGCCACTGGTATCCTGTGGTTGGGGCCATCAGTGTTGTCAGTGTTGCCTCATCTGGAGAGAAAGCACTGAAGCACTTCAGAATTTATAGCTAAATCTAGTTAGTCCTAGTCAGACCTGGCATGTATTCTCACATGGCATTTGAATGGTATATAGTGGTATAATTGATATTAAACATTTTAGATTATTTCAGAAATATTCCTACAGACTCAATTTGAAAAACTTTTGCTTTATAACTTGATTATTTCCAAAATATTTCCCTTTAAGTATTAGTTTTCATGGTATTCTACAAACTTGATTTTTTATGAAGGTATTTATTTATTTCATCAGGTTAGTCACAATGCATTCATAAATTCAAAATCAGATTTTTGTTTGTTTATGTTTTATTAAGAAAGATTTCTCTTTAGAAATGTAGTTCCCGTTACTTTGTTTTTGCCCTTGCTTACCATTTATGCAGTTGATGAGTTCAACCAATGTAAGATTCTAAACATATTAAAATATATTACAGGGACACAGTGTATATGAAATCATTCAGCATGACCCAAAATACATAGTAGGATTTAAAAGGAAAAAACAAAACTCCAGCATACTGTGTCACAAAACTGATGGGGTTATTCCTGATTGAGAGTCCAGCCTTTCTGCTGAAGAACTATTCCAGGCATTGCTTGGACATATTTGAGGAGATGTTGAGAAGTGTGGGAGGGTATTCATTGAAAGAGCTAATCTTCTGCTTGAGTAAAATTTCCATTCTTCAGTGATATGTCCATCAGATATCTATGTAGGCATCTCAGCAGTTGCTCCTACAAAGCTGGGTTTTTATTTCTGATCTATTTTCTGTTCGGGAATCACTGCAATTTAACTACTGTAAGTGAAGTTACTTTTTTAGGATGTGTTTGAGTGCCTAAACTTAAGGGCCTGATCTTGCAGTTTTATCCAACTAAATGGCCTTATTCTCATTTGGCTTGTTAACAATTGTAGAGTGCTACTGAGGGGCAGTAAATATTGATTAAACCCTATTAAAGCATTCACTTTCTCCCATAAAGGATTGATGAGCCACATTTTTCCTTTTCCTCCAGTGCAAACCTATATTTGCTACTCTCTTTAGCAATGTTTTATTTGGATTTTTGGCCAGATGTTTAGTCACAGTGAAATTGTTTCTGAGTACAATGTGAATGTAAAGTATCCTTGAACTGACTTTACTGCCCATTGCACAGCACAAATCTCTCCCCAAAGCTCAATGACGTGTGTTTTCTATAAGGTGTGTTAGCAGAAGAATTCATTAAAACCCCAAAGCACTGCGGGTGTCCCGTGGCAATGGGGGATTTGTGATCACACTGGAGGCTAAAACCCCACGTAAGCTCTGCAGTGGCCTTTTCCTCTCTGCCTCTATTGACTGCTGGATTTTTCTATTTGCATAATTATTTCATTGAATTTTTGTTCACTGCTCAATCAGGAAGTAGACACTAGCAGCTCAAAGAAAGCATCAGTACCTCCATTTTTCATTTGTTATTGCCTCTGAAACCTAATTTATACCTATATTTATTTATAAATGAGGTAGGATAAAATTATAATCTTGTAAACTGTTTTGAAATTTCAGCATTTACCTCTCGTCCTTCTGTTTGACTCTTGGTTGTGTTCAGTTTTCTTTATCAAGGCACTCCTTCTAGACTTGCATAGTTAGTGTTCTCTGTGCCAAGTTCCTGAGATATTTAGTGAGTGAAGCTAATGCCTCCAGCTAACAAACTTGAGCATTACAGGGTAATCCAGGCCTTGTATCATTGTTGACATGTTGTTACAAAACATACTGGCAAAGAAAACACTCATAATGGTGTTAAATGCCCATAATAAATAGCTGAAGGACTGTGAGCATTCAGAGAATAGAACCTGTAGGAAGGCAAGAGTGTTGTGCTATGTGTAACCGTGTAAAGAAAATTAAAAAGGAAAGAAGAG